AACCATGATATCAACTACTAAAGATCATAAGAAGCACAGAAACCGTCACAAGGACAACAAGGTGGGTTAAGGAGCAAGTTCAGCAGCCAGGTGGGTTTAGTGGTCTGACGAATGAGTTTGGTGTTATGTGATAAAATGTATTAGGGTGTAATAGGGGTATTTTTTGTAGTTAAATGGGGTATACTTAGTTAATTTTACATTTTAATTTAATTTATTAAGGTGTAATTAGATTATATGGTGTACTAAGTTAAGTTTAGGATTCGGTTAACACCCAAAAAATAAAAAAACCAAAATGGAACTATGAGAAATATTTCTTTTTATGTATGATAAAACTATATTATTTACTCTTGCTAACACTAAATTAAAAGTAGATAGAAGCTAGACTAGATTATAGTAGTTAGTCGAATTGAGCCTACTACTACTTTTTTCGGTGCATGTGTGTATGCGCGCATATATTTCTAGAGGGCCAATCTTACTTTGACTGACTCTGGGTTTTGTACTACATTGTGTACTACTTCGATTGTGATTGCTCTACCAAAAAGAAATGTGAACGTCTCCTCCTCTCCTTTATTACTTTTCTCTATTGGACAATATAGCATTACAATATTCAAGATGTTCACACTAAAGAGCGTACCCAACACAAAAAGCATCGGCTTTTGACATGATCCCACTTCAAATTAGCAACAAAATTAAAAGCAAAATTAATCAATCAATGACATGATCTTGAATTATCTTATAATTAGTGACATAATCAATTAGTGACATGACCATTAAGTTATAATAATCAACTTATATGTGCGGTTGCAGTTTATTGTATTGTTAAAGATTAGTGTCACAATACTGGTTCTGTTCAGGATGTGATGTCATAGCTAGGTATGTGGATTTTATACGACTAATTATGCTAGACTTTTTTTTTTTTTTTTTTTTTCATAAGAGACTCTTATTTTGGGATCACGTCATCACCCATCTAATCACTTTCATAAGTAAAATTGATTCCTTGTATTTGCGGTAAGACCAACTTAAGAAGAAGTTATAGAATAATACGATTGTTCGACCACTAGTATAATTTATTCACAGGTCATACTATAAGTGGATTATCTCTCCAACATAAGGCCGGGTGGAATTCCAATGCAGGAATTCCACTTAGTCCAACCGTTTCACTTAAAACTATCTTCTTGTTTTTATTAGGATCACTCTTGCTATTGAAGTGCATGAATGCGTGTAACGCATGCAGTACTAAAAAGGGCACTTGACTGACGTAACTTTTGGGCTTTAGTAAGTGTTTGTGTTTCCATTGATTTCTTATTCTCAATAAAGATAGGGAGAGTGGTGTATGTATTCTCATCCTTTTCTGCTAGTCTCTATCTATCCTCATCTTTGTCTGCCAAGGTCCAGAAAAAGAAAAGAAAAACAAACAACAGACAAAATCTACAAGTTGGAATAAATTAGCAATAGACAACTAGAGATAAACAAAGACATCAAAAGCTACGTTCGTCAGTCACCTTGGACGCACATGCATGAATTACTTTGTATTGATCTCTTTTGCTAGATTCACAACATGATTTCCACTATTGTCCATTACATATACACTGTTAATTTTTAACATACTATCCATCGATATAAGTATGTGAATCTTGATTATCGATTAAATTGGTTATTGTCTTAATATATGAATGATTCAAACTTACGCGTAGTCTCATAATAAGTATTTGTCTTAACAACATAAAGTTAGTAAACGAACATTACCCTATTTGTATTATATACATATGCATGTGAATTTCATAACAGATTTACATTGTACATGTGCGTGAGCGCAACCTCTACTATTTCACTACATTAAAAAATAAAATCTAATAGTAAAGAAGGAGCTTTGTGGTGATCAAAGTTTTCCATTAGTGGAAATCATGCTAGACCACAACTTTTTATTTTGTCATAGCTTAGCTAGCAAAAGAGATCAATATAATAAAGAAAGAAGAATCAAGAAACAAACGGAAGTACAAGTTTCTAGAGTTGTTTATATAATAACTTTGTAGCTATATATATATATATTTCCTAAGGATTCCTCAAATAAATTATTTAAGGGATATCTTTTAGGGTATGCTACGATTTTTTTTCCTAATGATCCAAATCATCTATTGTTTAAGTCTACATTCATAGATCATCCTTGCAACAAATTAGAGAAATCGAAAACCGTTTTGACATCCAATTATATCATACAAAATCAATAAACAAGATGCTTCAAGGAAAATACTAAAACTTCAATAACACAATTGAGTAGTCAAATGATATCGGATTCAAGTGATTTTTTATAGAAATTATCTTTGAATGATTATCTAAAACATAGATTGTTTGGATTAGTGAAATACAATGCAAAGTGGGTCCTATAAAGGTGTCCTTAAATAAACTTCCATTGAAGAATCATTCTATTTATATAATATATGCAGAGTATATGATGCATGTATGTGCCCGCAATTGCAGCTCTATGGTTCACAGATTAATTGAAGTTGGTCAGCCAGCCGTCATGGGACAGTTTTATATAAATAAAACGCCGACAGGCACATATAGCTAAGGAGGCTCACCATGTTACTTGGTGGTGCGATGATCATGGGGCTCATGGCCATTGTCCATTTGACCCGCCAATGTGTAAATAATATCGTCCCAAGTTGTATGTATTGACTTGTTAAATATTAAAAAATATATCAAAACCCGACAGTCACGCAATAAAGTACAATGGACTATTGACTTGCTAAAGTCTCAGTCTTTTTGGCAAACTAGTCATTGCCTCTCGTTGGTTAATGATCGATGGCTTTGCAATATTCATGGCTACCTGGTTTCCTCACTGGTTTTAATCAAACAGATCAAATATCTACCTCTCTCTCTCCCTCTCTCTCTCGACACGACATGTCCATGCACTTCCTCCATTTGCCCTCGACTTACAATAAGTTTCTCTTGGAAAACACAAGACTTACTTAAGTTTATATAGACGTCCTAAAACATGTATTAGCACTCTAAGTACACTAACGGATTAATATACTTATAGTAATGCTTGAACTAAAAACACACAAAAGTTTGGGGTCAAACCACAAGATATATTCATGTTCATGAAAGAATTAAGATTAATAGCTACTCACAACGTCGTGGCGGGATATCCCCAGGTGGAGAAAAGCTGAAGCGACCTTGAAACATCTTTGATGCGTCTCCTTCCATGAAAATCTCTGGCCACAGTAGACGATCGAAACCTTGTCGCCATAGACGACAGCTGCTCGCTCTAAGAAGCTTATAGGTGACAAGGGCATGTAGTTTGCTGAGCACTGAACAAGACAACCCTTACTCATGGTTTGTTACGTCTAGCTTATAGGGTCTTCCGCATAATATGATTCTACATAAGTTAGGCTATATATATATATAGAAGAAACCATGTGTATCTCGTTGCTTCCTCCCCTGACTCGGAATATAAAAAGAAGAAAATAAAATAAAAGAGTTAATCATGCAAATTCTTTTTGGGTGTAATTAATTAAGATAAGGACGAATGCTTAGTGGAATCATATGTATAGTTCTTGATTTATTCTTGATCACTCTCTAAATTTTATTTTTTTTCCTATCCCGTACGTATAATTTCTTGTATTTTGCAATTAAACAGCTATTTGGTTCCAAAAGCACAAATACAGAGAACCCGATTTAGTTTGCAGGTTAGAGGCTTCAAAATTGGTATAAAAAAAATACATTTTTGGGAATGTAATACCTCTTACATGAGTTTCAACCTCTCATATAGGAAGACATGATACCCCGACCCCCTTTTGATATGGATTTCCATTTCCTAGGAATATGAATTTTGTGCGTTCATTAACATTTCACCGTTTAAATGGTGTGGCGGTTGCAATATTCTATGGAATAGGCCATTGAAATTGAAAAGTCATAATAAAAAAATGACATATAGAATTTCAGGCCAAAATAATGCGACCCGGGCCCAAGCCCAAGCCCAATAGTTAACATATAGTCCTTTTAACAATTTCATTTCCTTCTAATTTGTGGGGAGACCAGAAAGAATATTCAACAATGTATGCTTTTCTCTTCAAACAAAAACGGTACTTGGCACGTTGGCATTGAATTCCTCACCTAAATGATAAGCTCGACGGTCGTGACTGAAAATTTATTGGTTTTTTTTTGGGTCAATGAAAAGTTATTGGTCAAATAAAAAATAATCCTATCTACACTTGCAGTAAGACATAATGATGAGGTAACTCTTATTAAGAAAAATTTAGTTGCAATAGGAGTAATACTATTTTACTATCCTTAACTAATAATGTTCTGTCACGTGAAAGTGTTATCACACATGCTATAACGTTATTAACTAAGAACAGCAAAATAGTTATATCCCCGTGTATTAGAACTCTTTCTCCTCTTATTGATAAAGAAATCCCTTTTGCAAGTTTGTGATTTCAAATAGTTCCCATTGCCCCCACGGAAACTGATATATCCTCTGATATTTTCCTTTTCCTGTAGCCAGACATATTTTTACACAGACAAAATAAAAAGTTTCAAATACATAGAGAGTGTGAGCGAAAGATAAGAATCTATGACAAGAATAAAACAAAGAAGTAAGAAATAGTAAGAAAATTATACTACTGGGGTAACTTTGATCAATCACATTCACCTTGATTTCTATAGACTTGGTTTTAGACTGTGGTCAAAAGAAGAGATATTCAAAGTACGACTAAGTCTCTCGTTCCGGGTCTGCACTGTTCCTGCGCTTATCCTTCAATTTTGAAATTTCAATCGATTGACGTGTTTCGAGGGGGAACTAGTCACTCCGTACGCAAACCTTTCAGATACTTTCTAGCGGCCTGCCCAAATACACCGTCACTAAAAATAACCCTCTTGTGCAATTTCCATAACTAAAACAAACTTAGAAGAAAAAAGCAAATACAATTAATAGGGTGGGTACTTTTCCAATTTGAGAAAATAGTCAAACAAAACCGCTTCCTCGCTGCGCTATATATACACATCCCCACGAAACCCAATCCACAGATCAAAAAGACATCAAACACTTTCGGAAAAGGAAAATGAAGTTACAGAGTCTTATCATTTTATCCCTAGCTTTGTTGTTAGGGATCTCAGCAGAGCAATGTGGGAGGCAAGCTGGAAATGCAGTGTGCCCCAATGGGCTGTGCTGCAGCCAATATGGGTGGTGCGGCAGCACAGCTGCTTATTGCGCCACTGGTTGCCAGAGCCAATGTGCCTCGACCCCTAAACCAACCCCAACCCCAACCCCAACCCCAACTCCAAGTGGTGGCGGTGGTGATGTCAGCAGCGTCGTTAGCTCAGCTGTTTTTGACCAGATGCTCAAGTACCGAAATGACGCGAGATGCAAAAGTAATGGGTTCTACAAGTATGATGCTTTCATTGCTGCTGCTCGGACTTTTAGTGGGTTTGGCACAACTGGGGATGTTACTGTCCGGAAGAGGGAGCTTGCTGCTTTCTTGGCTCAAACCTCTCATGAGACTACTGGTCAGTACTCTAAAATTAGTCATGATTGTTTGCTTGGTATAAAACTAGTTTAATGATCATTTTGACTTATGGAATTATATTGCGGATTACCTCTCAGTTAGGCACAGAGGCGGAGCTAGGATTTTTAGATTGGGGGACTAAATTTTTGGTCAATTTAAATCGGTTTTCTTATCTTTAAAAGAGGACCAACACTAATTTAATTGTAAAAATTTTATTCATTTTGATTATGCAGGAGGATGGGCAACTGCACCAGATGGACCATATGCATGGGGATATTGCTTTATCAATGAAAATAACCAAGATGTATATTGTACACCATCCGCCCAATACCCCTGCGCTGCCGGCAAGAAATATTACGGCAGAGGACCCATCCAACTCACGCAGTAAGTCTCTCTCTTATCTCTTCACCTAACGAGTTCTGGTCCATTGACTTGTTGACTTTGACTGACTTGTTTACTTGTTGACTTTTCTTCTAGCAACTACAACTATGGTCAAGCGGGTAAAGCAATCGGACAGGATCTGATAGCCAATCCGGATCTAGTGGCCACTGACCCGGTTGTATCATTCAGGACAGCTATATGGTTCTGGATGACCCCACAGGGAAACAAGCCATCGAGCCATGACGTCATCACTGGCAGGTGGAGCCCATCTGCTGCAGACACGTCGGCCGGTCGGGTCCCCGGGTATGGAGTGATCACCAATATAATCAACGGTGGGCTTGAATGTGGGCATGGCCAGGATGATAGGGTGGCTAGTAGGATTGGGTTCTACAAAAGGTATTCTCAGATTTTGGGAGTGAGCCCAGGGGACAACTTGGACTGTTACAGCCAAAGGCCTTTTGCCTAAAAAAGACAAAAGGGCTAAAATAATCTTATGTACGGTCTACCAAATAATACAATAATCATCCTATGTAATAGGAAATGTCTCGTTTCTATTTCATAAATAAAAGCTTGTTACTTAGCATTTGCACTAATTTTCTTTAAATACAAGTGATATTACAACCAAAAAAAAAAAAAAAAAAAATTTGAGAGCAACAAACACCGAATAAGCGAGTAAATAATTTTAAACATTCGAGTTATCAGTTAACCTTATACTACTCACTTGTCAATCATTATATAAAAAATATCAAAGCATCGTTCTTTGTTTGATTCGATTGCCATGAAATTTAAACATAGAACATCCTCTAAATAAACTCTGGTTAATATACTAAAGGACAACTGTAATAACTAACTTTAAAATTCAATTTGTTACTTACTCCACTTGCTCTCTAAATTTATTAAGGTCATAATCTTTTGCAATTTACGATATGTCGTTTTTCATCAACATCCAGGCTTTTCATTTTGGGCCATTGCAAAAAACCGGGCTTTAGCGCTAACAATGTCAATAACGAACCTAAAGGAGTAAACCTCCCCATGACCCATCACAGCACCCGCAATCCCCAAATCTCAAACCCCTGCAAAACCCTAACACCTGCACAGAGCTTCCACCCACCAAAGAAGAAGAAGAAGAAGAAGAAGAAATGGGGAAAATCCCACCATCACTTCGGTCCTCAGTTTCAACCTCACTTATCAAAAAGCCATCTTCTTTAGTCCCAAACGAGTCCCCATCTCACAGAACCCATCACTTTCCCAAGAAAACCACCAAGAAAATCCCACCCCAACTTTCCGAGAAAACCAGAGAACCAACCTTCAGAAACCCCTTCACCTCCGCCAACCTCTCAGACGCGAAGAAGGTCTTCAACTCCATCGTCACCACCACAAAAGTCCCACTTGACCTTCGCGTCCACAACGCCCTCCTCCAATCCTATGCCTCAATCTCCACCCTCAATGACTCCATCTCTCTCTTCAACCACATGATCAAAACCCACCCTCCTTTCTCTCCCGACCGATCGACCTACCACGTTTTGCTTTCCCAGTCCTGCAAAGCACCTGATCAGACCCTCAAACCCGTACACCAAGTCCTCAACTTTATGCTCACCAATGGCTTCAGTCCCGATAAGGTCACCACGGATATCGCAGTCCGGTCACTCTGTTCGTCTGGTAATGTTGGCCTTGCCGTGGAATTGGTCAAAGAAATGTCGCTTAAAAACGCAGCACCGGATTCTTATACCTACAATTTTCTTGTTAAGTGTCTCTGCAAGTCAAGTGCTGTGAGTACTGTTTATGATTTCATTGAAGAATTTAAAACGTCTTTCGGTTTGAAGCCTGATATTATCACTTATACAATTTTGATTGACAATGTGACTAATAGAGAGAATTTACGTGAGGCTACTAGGCTAGTGGATGTGTTGGCTAAGGAGGGATTTAGGCCTGATTGCTATATTTACAATACAATTATGAAAGGTTGTTGTAGGTTGAATTTGGGCAATGAGGCACTTGAGGTTTTGAAGAAAATGAAGGAGAATGGTGTGGAGCCTGATCTTGTAACGTACAATACTTTGATTTTTGGGTTATCAAAATGTGGGCGAGTTGTTGAGGCTAAGAAGTATTTGGGTGTCATGGTTGAGATGGGTCATTTCCCGGATGCGGTGACATACACTTCATTGATGAATGGATTGTGTCGGAAAGGGGATGTCTTGGGTGCATTAGGGTTGTTGGAGGAGATGCAAGAAAAGGGGTGCGAACCGAATGTTTGCACGTATAATACGTTGCTTCATGGATTGTGTAAAGCAAAATTGTTAGAGAAAGGGTTAGACTTGTATGGTGTGATGAAAGAATGTGGGATGAAGCTTGATACAGCTTCTTATGCTACACTTGTGAGGGCACTTTGTAGGGAGGGGAGGGTGGCAGATGCTTATGAAGTGTTTGATTATGCAGTTGAGAGTAAGAGCGTAACTGATGTTGCTGCTTATACAACTTTGGAGGGTACACTGAAGTGGCTTAAGAAAGCAAGGGAACAAGGCCTTGCTACCTAACTGGTATTTTCTCTATTTTCTATAACAACCATATTTTGTCCGTGAATTCCAGTAGTGTTTTCATATGTTCTGTGATTGATTATATCCTTGTAACTCAAGATGCCACAGTGATGTTTATCAATTCCCATATTGGCAACAGTGGCCTCTGGTTTTTCTAAATTTATGAAACTTTCAAAGGTTGGATTGTGCTGTTGTTTTGTTTTCAGTAACGACTAAACTTGTTAATTTCAGTGAAAGTGAAACTGTAAGACTCAAGGTTAAGCAAATGACATTAAGCCGGTTGTGTTTGTTTAATTTATTGTTTCCTTGAAGAGATATATTACACGAGTTTAAAGGTACTGAAGTGAATCCCTTTTGGCAACACTTAAATATGTACAGATGTTTTGTCTCTGAGATATGCTAAAGTTAATGCTGCTTGGATTTGTATGCTTTCTGGTTACCTAGTTTTAGGATTATTGGAGCTGTTTGGTTGTTAAATTTGAAATTGTAAGTTTGTCATCTTCCAAATTCCTACAGTTGTCATATCTTGGATTGACACAACTGTAATCACGATTTTGAACCCTCTTGTCTTGATCCCTTCAAGAGTGAATGTTGAAAGAGTAGAACCTTTTTCACATCAATGCTTATATGTAGTTGATGTCCGTATAATATGATTATGTGGCTTTCACTAGTTGTGCTCTATTAAGGCTCGAAATGTGAATTGTGGTTTTTCTTTTCTATTATTATGCACGTAAGGCCATTACGTATATCTTTCATCATACAATATCCCGACTAAATCGAAACACTTCTTGTTATTTTGGGCCACCAGGTTTGTTACGGGGCTGTTGTAGGTTTAAGTTTTCAAGAGTCATCCTTGGTGAAGCAAGAAAGCTGAATGTAACATATTAGCACTCCTGCAATCTATCTGCACCAGGACAAACAACTGTTATGGTGAACGGCAATGATAACAAAATCCCTCGAGTGGAAGGCCTGTCCTGGACGTGAAGCGATGGGGAAGGTTCATACATCTAGCCGTTATCCCCAAGATCTATAATTCCGTGATGCTGCAACAAATTGCAATTTACAGGACCAGTTTGAGCATATAGCAGAGGCAGATTATCGACCAGCATTAATAACCTTAAGAAAACTCAACCCCATTTTGTATTCACCATCCAGACAAAAGTTATCCTATGTGCAAATTATCCGCCAACTAAATCACCATGGTCGCAGCAAAACTTCTCCCCCTGGTTGGCATCAGTCACTATCTGCTATTGATTGTTGATCTGCTACTAGCCTACTACTCTGGGGAGCTGTACTGTCTGCTGTTATCCACACACAGATTTTTGTTAAATAAGTCTTAAGGCATTTATATCTATTCTTTGTAATTGTGGCTTTTTTGAATTTTATGGAAAGGAATAGAATAAGACCCAAATTCTGTATTTGTATGTACCATTGCATGGGAATATCATATATTTCTTATTTTCTAATATATCCCCCATTTAAGTTTTAACCACAGGTGGACATGGGCATTTCTGTCTCTGCAGTTTTGTTCAATGACAATGAAAATCTGAAACCCAAAAAGAAAAGAAAAAAATCAAATCAAATTAGATTGTTTATTGATCAGTGAACACAATTTGGCAAGGGCAGAAAAGGGTGCCCTTAAAAATGCATCAATTAGCGGTCTTCTAATGAAAAAAGAGTGTAGCATTACTCTGTCTGTGATTTAAGGTTGCTAGGTTTGCTTCTTTCCAACATGGTTACGCAAAGTGCATGTGACGCAAATTACAAAATGTGGGCATTTCTGACTCCTGAGGTTTAGGCTCTTTTGTGACAGTAACTGCCAACAACCTGCCGCCCCTCTTAACCCAAAAATGTTTAACTATAATGCTTGTTTTTTGGGAATAAAAAGTAATTAAAAAGAGGGTCAAAATGTCTCTTTGTCTGTGGATAAACAAATGGGTTTTCTGCCACCTTAGTGCTAATTGTATGGTACAAAAAATGATACGGAAATCGAGTGGTTACTTGATTGGATGAACCAGACCATTTTGGTTAGACGTACCTAGTTAATTTGGCTAGCAAAGCCTAGCTAGATTCTTGTATTTGAGGTCTACAGATTTAGGCTAAACCTTGTCTAAGTTTTGTTGTTCTGGCTTGGTTTTCTTAAAAGACCACCAAGCACTGCCAGCCTTTCATGTCCATAAAACAATTCAAAAGGACTATGATTGAATTGTGATTGAGAGAATGGTACTGCTAAATGATTGGGGGAGGCAAGGAGGCATACGGCTCTCACGGCCTGTACATGTTGTTTGTGAAAAAAGATATAGAATTTGTAGTTGTTGGCCAAATTTGATACAGGATCGATTACAATCACATGCAGGCCGTACTGGGTTGGCATGAAAAAGACCATACATGTAATCCTTATCATTTGATGCTATAACTTATATATATATATAAGACTTAACAGAGTTGGGTTTATTCAATTCAGTGTTCACTTTCAATTGTGAGAAAAAGTTAGGACTTTTTTTCAAAGCACATAGCTTTTCTTTCAAGCGATTGAAGATGGCTGTTTCACTTTCATCCATAGTACCTGTGAGGTCCATTAGCTTACCATCTAGGCTAAACCCCAACTCCCAAAAGATTGAGTCAGAGCTCAACAAGTTAAAGACTTTGAGATTTTCATGTGCTGCAGAAGCAGCAAGTTCAAGTCCTCTAGGCAGTGAGGCTCTTCTAGAGGGCTTGTCCTGTCTTGCAGAGTTGTACAATTGCATTGAGGAACTTGTTCGGACTCCACTGATCCAACAAGCTCTCAACCATCACCAACAGTGCAAAACACTAGTGGAGGAAGCACTTGATGGCTCAGTTGGGTTGCTAGACTCTTGTGGCAATGCAAGAGACTTGCTTTTGACAATGAAGGAACATGTTCAGAACCTTCAATCTGCACTGCGCAGGAGAAGGACCAGCGATTCGAGCAGCATCAAAAGCAACGTTCACGCTTACATTTGCTTTCGAAAAAAGGCAAAGAAGAGCATTGCAAAGAGCCTCAGAGATTTGAAGAAAATGGAAAGCAAGATCAATCT